AAGGCAGGGAGCCAGGCCTGGCACCCGCACCCGGGTCACGCTCTGCAGCCTCCTTTTCAGAGCTAGAACAACAGCATGCAAATCCAGAGCCTCTGGGCTAAGACAAACCTATCCTTAAAGTTTTTGTCTTCTTAAGCAAGGAAATAGAGTGCCAAATAGGCTTTGTTAAGTGGCAGCCTAATTAATAATTTAAAATCTTGTAGCTGTCTTTCATTAGAATTTATCTGTACATCAACCACAAAATCAGTCAAACACACTCATTTATAAGTTAATGCCATCTCTGAATAATTCAGCAAGCAGCTAGATTAAGGCCTGCGCTCCTGCAAGATGCACTCCATTCTCTGGGCTTCTGCAGCCAGATGGTCCCTGCGTGGCAGCTTGTGTGGGCCCCACTCCCTGGCACGGCTCAGGCAGGCTGGTGCTCAGGTAGGGTCCCAGGTGGCTCTGCAGCGAGGCCAGCGATTCCTTTGGGGAGGGAATGAAAACAAGCTGGAAACCACAAGCGGGGCTGGGAGGGAGGGAGCAGCCTGCTGCTCTCCACGGGGCGGCCAAATCTGTTCTTCCTGAGAACAGGAGCGGGAGAAGGGCACACTTGCAGGCCCTCCCTCCTGGGGCCGCGGCGCAGCCGGGAAGCAGAGACCTTTCTGCCGAGCGCCAGGCCCGGCGCTCTGCTCGCTGTGCTCCACCTCCGAGGGACGCGGCCATCTGGAGCGCAGGGATGTGCCTCCGGTTTGGGCCCCTCAACCCTGCCTCCGGTGCAGATGCCTGGCTGGGAAATGCTTCCCTGGCACGGACAGGTCTCCAGGCCAAGGCAGCGCAAGTGCATACAGCGCCGAGCTTAAAATGGTTCCGCCCTCACTCTGCTGAGATGAGCTGCGGGCCGGGAAGAGATGCATTCAGCTGAGATTTGCCACGAGATGCACTCACAACGAGCCAGGGGGATGGTAGAGATGACTCCAAGGACAGAAGTGGCGAATAGGAGGCTCTCTGACCGCCGCCATGGCGGGCAAGGGCTCTGGGGGAGCCGTGCCAAGGGAGGGAACGGTGCGGGCAGGGGCTGGCAGAGCTCCACGAAGGGTTCGAAAAC